ACTTCCCTAACTTCGTGAAGGAAACAGACATACAAGTCCAGGAAGCACAGAGAGTCCCAAACAAGATGAACCCAGAGAGGCCCACACAAGACACATCATAAGCAAAATGCAAAAGGTTAAAGACAGAGAATCTTAAAAGCAACAAGAGAAAAGCAGTTAGTTACCTACAAGGGAGCTTCCATAAGACTGTCAAAGAAACTGCAGGCCAGAAGGGAGTGGCAAGAAATAGTCAAAGTGATGAAAAGCAAGGACCTACAACCAAGATAACTCTATCCTTCAAAGCTATCATTTAGAATCGATGGATATATAAAGAGCTTCCCAGACAAAAAAAAAAAAGCTAAAGGAGTTCATCACCACCAAACCAGTATTATATGAAACATCGAAGGGTCTTCTTGAAGAAGAATATAAGAAATATGAACAACAAAATGGCAATAAATACATATCTATCAACAATTGAATCTACAAATCAAATGAACAAGCAGAACAGAAAGAGACTCATAGATACAGAGAACTTTTTGTTGGTTGCCAGATGGGAGGGCGGTTGGGGGGATGGGTGAAAAAGGTAAAGGGATTAAGAAGTACAAATTGGTTGTTAGACTGAAGAGGGGAGGAGGGGAAGAGATAAAACAAAAAACTTCTAGCCCTGGCTGGTTTGGCTCAGGGGTTAGAGCGTCGACCTGCGGTCCTGAGAGACCGGGGTTCGGTTCCCGCTAAGGGCATGTACCTAGGTTGCAGTTTGTCCCCGGCCCTGGTCGGTCGTGCGGGTGGCAGCCACTTGATGTGTTCCTTTCGCATTGATGTTTCTCTCTCTCTCTCTGTTCCTCTCTCTCCCTCCCACTCTACCTGAACAAAAAAATGGGAAAATGTCCTCGGGTGAGGATAAAAAAAAGAACTTCTATGCATATATGCATAACCAATGGGCACAGACAATAGTATGGGGAAGGCAGAAGGGGGATGGGAGCGGGAAGGAGGGGTCAATGGGGGAAAAAGGGGAGGAGATCTGTAATACATTCAACAATAAAAATAGTTTTAAAAAATAAAGAGATAGAGCCCTTGCCGGTGTGGTTCGTGGTTGGAGCGTCAGCCCATGCACCAAAGGGTCACGGGTTTAATCCCCTATCAAGGGCACGTGCTTGGGTTGCAAGTTAGATCCCAGGCCCCAGCTTCCCAGTTGGAGTGGGTCCAGGAGGCAACCAATCAATGTCTCTCTCTCTCTCTCTCTCTCTCTCTCTCTCCCCCCCTCTCTCCCCCCCTCCTTCCCTCCCTTCCACTCTCTCTAAAATCAATGGAAAAACATATCCTCAGGTGAGGATTAACAAAAATAAAGAAAGAGATGGATGTTTAATAAGACCACAGCAAAGGGGAAACAAGGGGGGGGGGCAGGCAAAGACAGACAGACAGATGGATGCACAGGCAGACCCTGGCAGGGCACACAGCCCCAGGGTCCCACTGGGCACATTCCGAAGGAAGCACAGCTCTGGGCACTGGGTAGGAAGAGCCCACAGAGGGGAAGTCTGGGAAAGCAAGAGCGGGATAGATGACAGACAGACAGATGCACAAAGCTTCATCTTCAGGCCCCGTCCCTGCCCCCACACACCCCCATCTGTGCCCCTTTCCCTGGCTGTTGTCTCTATCTCTGTGTGTTGTGTTTCTGTTTTCGCTCTACAAACCACAGCTTTTTGGAGCCCCCAAGAGAAAAATGGGAAAAGACAGAGATGAAAGAAAATGCAGACCACGAACCATGTGTATGGCTGTGTGTGTGTGTGTGTGTGCACGTGCGAGTGAGCTTGAATGCACCTCCAGCACAAGGTCTGCGGTAGAATTTTATGAGAAAGAGAGGAAGAGGATGAAAGGAACCGAGGATAAAGGAAGAGGTGGAGGGAGCAGGGGGTTAAAGCGTGGAAGGCAGGGGGAAGCAGGGACATGCACATGCCACACATATGACCTAAGGCACACACCATACACACAGCACAGTGCACACCACGCACACTGCACACCACAGACACCACACACATGAAACACACACACACGTGACACACACACACTGGAAGTACAACAGTGGGAGGGAGCGCAAAGAATCCAGGGAGAAAGGGAGGCAATGAGGGGGCTGGCACAGAGGGCCAGGCAGACAGACAGACCTGGCACAGAGGGCCTGATACAGACACACAGGCAAACATGCGCCCTCACACATCCATACGGACCCATGGCAGGACTGGGCCCAGGGGGAATCTTCAACACGAGTTTTACCTTTGAGTGCATGAAAGAATGAACAGGCCGGCAGCCCCGAGTGAGAGCCAATAAACGTGGACCAGAGAGCAGAGAGACAGACACAGAGACACATTCAGAGACAGAGAGACAAGGAGGCACAGAGGCGGATGGGCAGAGAACAGGTGAGGACCAGATGGACACACACCCAGAAACATGCCCCATGTTTCCAGGTGGAGGGATGGGGTAGAGAAAATAAATTATGATTTTGTGTGTGTGTGCTTTTCTGTATTTCCTACTCTTCTGTCAAGATTTATTTTTTCAAGGAGGAAAACATTTACCGCAAAAAGAAAAAAATGGCCCTGGCTGGTTTGGTTCAGCGGTTAGAGCGTCGGCCTGCGGTCCTGAGAGACCCGGTTCGGTTCCCGCTAAGGGCACGTACCTCGGTTGCAGTTCGTCCCCGGCCCTGGTCGGTTGTGTGGGTGGCAGCCACTCGATGTGTCCCTTCACGTCGATGTTTCTCTCTCTCTCTGTTCCTCTCTCTCCCTCCCACTCTACCTGAACAAAAAATGGAAAAATGTCCTCGGGTGAGGATGAAAAAAGAAAGAAAAAAATGCACGCAGAATAAGAGCAAACCACTGAAATCAGGAAGAGAGGCGGGGTGGCCACAGGGTTGGTTCCAGGGGGTCCAGTCCTCTGAAGTGGGCTGGAAACTGGACAGGGCTGCATATGGGGGGGGGGCGCAGAGGGACTGTGAGACGGCGGTCCCAGCAGAGTGGGCATCTCTCGCCTCTCTACCCTCCGTCTCTCTCATTAAGAGTCAAACAAAAGCAAACTGAACAGAGGCCCAGACTGAGAGGGTCAGAACCAGAGGTGGGCCAGATCTGGGGGCATCAGCGAGAATTGCCCCATTCCTTCAAGTTCCTGTTCTAGACAACCCTGCAAGTTCCAGGGGGTCAGGGAAGGCTCCCAGAGGCCGTCCATGGCCTCCGAGATGTGTTTTGAAGGATGAATAGGAGTTTGCCAGGTTGCAGAGAGGAAAGAAAGGGCATTCCCAGTAGCAGAAACAGCCTGGGCAAAGGCATGGAGGTGTGAAGCCTGGGGAAGAGTCAGGGGCATCAAGATATTGATAAGGAAGAAAATCGGAAAGAGAGGGAGAGGGAGAGAGAATGAAGGAAGAGAACACAGGGAGGCAGAGAAAAAAAGAAACAAACAACAGTGAGAAACAGAGAGACACATGTAGAAACAATGGCAGCAAATCAGAAGCACAGAGACACACAAAGAAAGACCAAGAAGTGTGGGGGAAGGGAATAGAAAGAAACACAAAATATGGTCAAGACAGGGAGCTGGAGCCACACTGAAGAGAGGGCAGGAGAAAACTGGAGAGACAGAGAGGCAGGGAGGGAAAGGCATACAGAGAGACACGCAGAAACACACAGCGAGATGGGACAGAAAGGGGGTGCAGGCAGGACCTCTCCCGGGGGCACCTGGGGAACACGCAGGCCGGCTAGGCTGGGACCGCCACCCAGCGCTGAGCAGGCGCATTCTGACCCGCCAGGCAGTGCAGCCTAGGGCTTTGTCCCTGCAGGGGCTGGGGCGCATCCCCAGCCTGCACATGTTCCTGAGTCCCAGGGTACACGTGGGTCCTGCTGGCAGCTTGGTGGTGCGCTCCAGAGCCTACATGGATCCGCGCGGACCCACACTGCCCCATGCTTGTCCACAGAACCCAGTTACACACATTGATGCCCACAGCCCAGGAGCCTGCATGTTCAAGCTGGAAGGACCTGGATTTGTGTCCAAGCAATACACACAAACTCATGTACACACAGCTCTAAAAAACAGACCCACTGGCTTCATACCCCATTATACCTAGGTACACACACACCCCAGGAGCCCACAGGCTAGCACACTACCTGAACACTTGTGTGTAGAGATACACAGAGCCATGGATGAACAGGCCCTCCAGACATACCCACATGAACATAAAGGCACACACACACAAACATACACACACACCGCCATGAACACAGACTATACCACAAACTCACATCCATGCTACTTGGGAGATCCTATTCATGCTCCTAAGTCATGAGCACACCCTTAGGGTCTCAGGTTTATGAAAATAATACTGAAAAGAGTAATATCCCGATTTTGACATTTGTTTTTAATTAAAGTGTTATTACGACCGGAGGTGACTCATGGATAGGTGTGTGATCCGATGTATAATAAATTTCTTCGTATAGACTGTTGCAAATGAACTTCCCAGTTGTGTCTACTGGTGGCGGCAGAGAAGGGAAGAGAGGAAGAGTTTTGGGATGTCTCTCCAGAGAGCTCAGGACTTTGGTTGACCCAGCCCCACCTCACACCCTGCCCAGCACTCCTAGGAAACACACAGATAGCACCCACAAGCCACATCTCCCGGGGAGCACACCCACAACCCGACAACCCCACCAGAGCCGAGTGCCACCCGCCACCATCTACCAAGGGCATCAGCATTCCGAACTGCTGAGACTGGGAGTCCTGGGTTTCATCTGTTGCAGCTTAGACACAACCAGCGAGCCTTCTGCCGAATGTGCTCACTCCCCAAACGCAAGTACAGGTGTGCACACGTGGTCACATGCCACAGTGACTGTTGTCTCCAATCTGATCATGTCACGCCGAGGCCTGAACCCTCCAGGCACCAATGCTGCCCGCACAAAGACCCCTCTGACGGCGGTCTGTCTTCACCTCCCACCCCGTCACCCTCCAGCACACAGTAGATGCTCAATAAATCACTGGTTGAACTCTGAGGTCTGTTTGTGTTTAATCAGACAATATGCAAAGTATTTACAACCAATTCTGGGTTCCCTCTCCCTCCCCCCAAGCCTGGGCCATGGAATGTGGGAACCGTAGGCCCTGCCCAGAGCCAGGGGTCCCCTAGGCCTCTGCATAGTCATCTGGAATCTACAAAACACTGTTTGTTTGTTTGTTTGTTGTTTTCTTGCTTTAAAAAAAGGACAGTATCCGGACACCTTATACAAAGGGCCTTGGGCATTTAGAAGGGGATTTGGGAGCACGCTGTTGTATGCGAGCCCAGATTTGGGACTGGGACAGACAGAAGACTTGGGTAATAAACATGTATGAAAGGAAAAGTTGAAATTTCATAGGCAGGCACCGCTTGGCCTCCTTCCCCGCTGGCTGGCTCAAGAATCCCTGGCAGCAGGAATGTTATTGCTATGAGGGGGGGCTGTGGGTGAAATGTACAATGTGTCTGGGGGACAGAGTAAGGGGCATTTTTACATGTTAAATATGGACACACATGGAGGAACACACACGTGCACACACACACATACACACACACACAGAGGCCCTTGGCAAGCTGCCCACAAACTGTCAGCCACCCCCTTTAAGAGGAGCACACTGAGGCCCAGGAAGATGCCACCCACACCCTCAGCCTGAACAGCAGAGCTAGGGCCAAAACAGTCTCCTGACACCCAGCCTGTGCTCTCTGTGGGATGCCAGGCCACGGCGTCTGGACAGGAGTGGAGCAATGGCAGAGGCCGTGGCCACCGATGGAGGCAGACACTGCAACGCAGAGAAGCAGCACGGTCCACCCCAGGTCCACAGCCAGTCCTGGTGCACGGCAGCGGACACCCTCGTCCTCTCACCCAGCCTAGGCATTCCCGTCCCTACTCATGAGTTTAGAGGTGCCAACTTGGGGAGGAGAGCAGGGACCAGGAGTTGAAATGACACAGGACAAACTGGGCAGACAACCTAGGGTTCCCTCCTAAGGCCAGGGCCAAAGCTTCCCAACCACTTGGAACTTCTATTTCTGCTTGATTGCCTCCAGAGCCTGGGAGCTCACTCCCTTTCATGGTTGGCTAGCCCTGAAGGTCAAGATCTACCCACATTCTGATTCAAGTCTGCCTCTCTAGACCTGCACCTCCACCCCTCATTCCTAGTTCAGCCCCACATCCACCTCTACTCTCTGCCCACAACAGTCCCGCTAAGCGGGAAACAGCAGCAGGACTCTCTGCTGTCTCTAACCCACCCTCAGGCCCCTTGTCCCTTGGGCTGCCACAGTCTGTCCATGATGCCTCTGAGGACAAGCGTGTTGGTTCCTGAGGAAGACAGAGGGAGCACCGGGTTCTGATCCCACCTCAACCCTGACTGCTCTGTGGCCTTGGGTAAGTCAACCTCTCTGGACTGTTTCCCCATTGGTAACAGGGGACAAGGAAGTGACGATCTCTAAGGGTCTCTTGGGTCTAAGAAGGGCAGGGTTTGAGAGGGTGCCCACCCCACCCACCATCATCAAGTCAGTCTAGGCCTCCTGCTTGGGAGCCATGGCAGAGGGGTCTGGACCCAGTGGCCTCCACAAAAAAGTGTTTCTGAAATGGACCGCAAGGGGCAGGTATCAGGCAGGCTGACGGCCGAGGGCCTATCACTTTTCTTTGGAAAGGCTCTTTGGCCAGCTCAGCAGGCAGACCTGGGTGGCACGGAAGTGGGAAGGAGCCAATGTGTAAAGTCGGTTGAGGCCGGGAAAGGGAGCCCTCAGCCCCAGCCCTTCTTCCCAGGTCCTCCTGCCATAACACAGAGCTCCGGAAGGTGCACGAGGAGGCACGTGGCTGGAGCCGGAACCAGAGCCGGGACACAGTCACTGTGCCAGCCTCGGAGCCTGCCCTCGGGGCTGCGCCCAGCCCTAGGCCCTTCCATGCCACAAAAGGAGAGGCCTCATCACTGGCAACTCAGCCTCACAGAGGATCTACAGCGGGCAGGCAGAAGGAGGCAGGACCCACGGGGTCACCCAGCCCCAGATCCAAGCCGAGAAGCCAGTCTGGCCCTGTAGCCTGCTCCCTATAGGTTCTCTCCAGGCTGATACTGGGGCTCCGTGGACGTGAAATAGTCCTCCAGGAAGGCCTGCAGGTACTCGAAGGTGGGCCGTTCCTCCGGCTCCTTCCGCCAGCACTGGCACATGAGGTCGTGCAGGGACTCGGGGCACTCAGGCGGGCAGGGCATCCGGTAGCCTCGCTCCACCTGGTCCAGCACCTCACGGTTTACCATCCCTGTGGGCAGAGGGAGGAGTGAGGAGGCTGGCTTTGGGGAGGGAAGTGGGGTGGAGGGAAGCTGCCGAGAATATCAGAGAGGGCTTCCTGCCAGGACAGGTGGGTGTGACCAAGGGAAAGCCCCTCCCCAAGCTGGAGGCCCGGACCAGAGAGAGCTACGATCGGATGCTCGACTTCTTTCTTATACAGAGGGGGAAACTGAGGCTGGGAGGGGGGCTGGCTTGTCTCAGGTCACCAGGGCAGAGGGGTGGGGGACCGACGATGGGCTGTGGGGAGCTCTCTTACCAGGGTAGGGCACCCGCCCCTTTGTCGTGAGCTCTGTCAGCAGGATCCCAAAGGACCACACGTCTGACTTGATGGTGAACCGGCCGTAGAGGGCGGCTTCCGGAGCTGTCCACTTGATGGGGAACTTGGCACCTACAGGAGCAAGAAAGGTCAGACAGGTACCATTCCCACCCCCATTTGACAGGTGAGGAAACTGAGGCTCAGAGAAGGGGCATGACTTTCCATGGACTATGGTACCCACCCAGACCCTGCCCACCTTGCCGGGCTGTGTACTCGTTGTCTTCGATGAGCCGAGCCAGGCCGAAGTCAGCCACTTTGCACACGAGGTTCTCCCCAACCAGGATGTTGGCAGCACGGAGGTCCCGGTGGACATAGTTCATCCGCTCCACGTACGCCATGCCTGAGGCGATCTGCCGGCAAAGCCCGGGGCTGGCTCAGGGGCCACCCACGCCCTCCCCACCTCGCAGGGCATGCACTCGGGGCTGGGTCGTCCCCAGGATAGAGAGCCAACCGAACGCCCTGCCCTTCCCAGTTCTTCGGCACGTGAAGTTGGGTTACACTAAATGCTGTTCGCACAAAAGCAGGACCAGTGCTCAGCAGAACCACCACTTGCAGCATTATAAGTGGTCCCAGTAACACACAAGGCGAGAGCAGTGAGTGTGAAGGCAATCAAAGCAAGATTCCCGGAGCGGGCACCCAAGAGGCCAGAACTGGCTGAACCAGGTGAGTCTGAGTGCCCGAAGCCAAGGGTGGAAGAGGGGCGGACTCACCTGAGCAGCCATGTCCACCAGCTGAGGCAGCCGCAGGTACTTGCCCGTCTCCCCCTTGAGAAAGTCCAGCAAACTCCCTGGGCAGAGAGATAGCAGCTCTAGCACCCACCCTGTCCTCCCTGAGCCAGGAAGCAGGGGTTCCCAGGTCCTATCCAACGGGGTGGCTGGTCTCACTGCAGCCGGCGCTGCAGATTGTATGTAAACGCACTCGGAATGTAGTCTCACTCAGTGTCTGTTACTCAAAGGCAAGCAGGATGGGAAACAACCCAATGTTCACCTCCAGCTGAACAGAAACGATGGTCCATCCATCGATGGAACACTGCTCAGCAATAAAACCAAGGAACAAACTGCCGATAACACACAACAAGGAAGAACCTCAGATGTAAAAGGTTATATAAATGGTCCGGCTGGTGTGGCTCAGTGGTTGAGCGCTTACTCATGGACCTGGTGGTGCCATCGCTGGTTTGATTCTCAGTCAGAGCATATGCCCAGGTTGTGGGCCCGATCCCCAGTGGGGGGCATGCAGGAGGCGGCCAATTGATGTTCTCTCTCATCTATGCTTCTATCTCTCTCTCCCTCCCTCTCCCTTCCTCTCTCTCTAAAATCAATAAAGAAAAAAAAATTCTTTTTAAAGATTATATAAATGAAGCTCTAGAATAAACAAATCTAGGATGCAAAAAACGTGTCAGTGGCTGCCTGAGTTTGGGGCTGGAGGGTACTGTCTGCACAGAGGGGCAAGGGAACTTTCTGGAGTGATGAAGATCTTCTATATCCTGATTGTGATAAGGAATACACAGAGTATCCACGTGTTAAAACTCATGAAACTGGACACTTAAAATGGGTGTATTTTATAACATATAAATTATGCCTACGAATAGTTGAATTTTTCAAAATAATTCACTAATTTTAAAATTAAGTAAAGGTCAAGCCAGGGGCTTGATGTGGCTCGGCTTGGATGGCTGGGCAGCGGTCTCCTGCCCCAACATGGCAAATGGCTTTAGAAAACCAGCAAACTCGGGTAGACAAGATGCATTGTGGGAAATCATTAAAAACAAAATGAAACGAGAAAGGTGATCTTTGTTTTAACTTTCCATCGACAGGAGAAGTTAGCTCTCTTCCATTCCACCTTTAAAGAGGTACACTCTAAATCTGGGGGGCAGTAAAGCACTCCCCACCTGCTCCTTGGTGAGCACCTGATTCCGAGGTAGCCTCGCCAGAGGCTGCCCGCATCTTGGTGCTGGTCCCCAGGTCTCACCCTTGCTCATGTACTCTGTGACGATGTAGATGGGCTCCTCAGAGACCACGGCATACAGCTGCACCAGCTTCTCATGCCTCAGTTTCTTCATGACCTGGGCCTCCTGCAGGAAGGCTTCTGGAGACATCGTGCCTGGCTTCAGGGTCTTGATGGCCACCCTGGTGGTGCCGTTCCAGGTGCCTGTGTGGGGAGGGGTGCAGGCTACCTCAGTTCCCATCCCACAGAGACCCAGGATCTGCCCGGGTACCAATTTTAGCTCTTGCCTCCCTTGCCATTTTGAGCCTCAGAGTAGCCACCTGTAAAATGGGCACAAGAACAGGATGCTTCCATCCCAGGACTATTACAGGGAATAAATGAGTCTCTGGTACATGCTCAAGAAATAGCAGCTGTTGTTACGACTATGATTTTTAGACAAGTCCCAAAAAGCACCACATTAGCCTGGGATGGGAGACCATGATCCCAACTCAATTGCTCTTTTCTGGGTGATCATGTTCCTTCACAGCAGCACAAAGAAGGTGCCTTGGGTGTTAGCAAATGAATGGGGCCAAGGCTGAGAGGTCTGGGGCTCATTCCTCCCAGTCTGGGCCCCCATCTGAGGGTTGGGGCTCAAGTCCATCTGGGGATATGCACCTGGCGCTTCACAAGTCTACCTGGAGCAACAGGGAAGAAGGAAAACCTCCCCCACTGGTCACTGCACAGCAAGCCAGGTATGAGTGGCTGCCGGGGACCTCTCCAGGGTTTGCTCACATCCTCAATTTGCATATGTGCTTAGGAGCTGGCTTCTCATCCCTCTACCCTCGCCCTAGCTCGAAGCCAACACCTCTCTTTTCCCGACTTGGCCTGAACTCCGGCCTCCAGGCCTGTGCGCCCACAGTGCCCTCCGCCCAGGAACCCTCTGCTCCTCCGTCGTCTCTTCCTCTAAGGGAGGAAAGGGAGACGCCGATGCCAAGTGAATACAGTGGCTCAGAAGAACACCTTTGGAGACAGGACATTGGGACGCCTCCGCTGAAGCCACAGGCTCAGCCTACCTCACCCCAACCTCCAAGATTCCTGTGTCAGCAGCAACCAGTCAGCGGAAGGGGCCTGGGTTTTGTCAGGGCTGCAGGGTGTTTGTTTGCAAGGACGGTTTGCAATCTCTCCAGGGTCAGAGAGGAGATTGTTAACAGGCCCAGAGCACTCCCTCCATGAGCTGCGGCTTCTCTTCCCAGGGCTCTCGTGTGGATGCATGCCGGGCCGGAGTTCTCACACTACCCCACTGCGGGGCCTACTCTACCAGCCCCATTTTACAGCCTGGAAGATCAAGGCTCAGAGTGAAGCCACCTGGCCCAGACCGCCTGGCAGATCATCGGAGAGACGCAACGCCCAATCCCTCTGCAGGGGCCTGAGAGGCCAGAGTCCGCCTGGGTGCCAGCCACCACTGGGGGAGCCTCATACTTAAAATAGGGCCTACTGCTCAAAAGAGCGAATGAGACTCTGGGAAGTAAAGGGAAGGGGGATGAAGGGGACCTTGAGCTGCCAGACAGGATGGACATCTGCTTGGTTCTCAGGTGGGGACACCAAAGCCCCCCCACCCCCCCCGGGAGCCTGTGTTCTCCTCTGAACAGGTAGGAGCAAGGACTTACCCATCCACACCTCTCCAAAGCAGCCCTGGCCCAGCTTGACCTCCAGCCGCAGCGACTCCCGGGGGATCTCCCAGGCGTCCTTGGCCAGGCCCTGAGTCTGTGGCTTGGATGTGGGGCACACAGTGGTGAGTCGGTGGCACAAGCCATCGGCATATTCTGAAGATGGAGACACGGAAGTGGAGTCCAGGCCTGGCACCTGCCCTGGGGCCTCCCGGTCCCACAGTGTATGTGTACAGACCTACACGTCGTATGCACACAGGCTTCGGGGACACCCAGGACGCCTGTGAGGCCAAGCATCCACACCTGTGTGTATACGCCCTCACCTCACACTGGCTCACACTGCCCCATGCATCTGCTCACTGAGTCATTCATCCATCAGACTGTAAGGGGTGGCCAGCTAGGTGGGTACCAGGGACCCACTAGGGACAAGTCCAGTGGGACCCTAGCCTCTGGGAGCTCACAGTCCAGGGAGAGCCCAACGTCCCTTACTCGACTACCAGGACCACATGTGCGACAGAGGACAGCGGTGCGTGCAACAGCAGGTGGGCGGAGGGAGTCCTGCAAGGCTTCCCGGAGGAAGTGGTGCTTGGGCCCGCATGGGCCGGAGGGTGACTGGTTAACTGGGGACAGCACTCCAGCAGAGGACACAGTGCCTCCTGCCTGTGTAAGGCCCTTCGGGAAGAACGGCTGCTGGTTGGAGCAGCTTCAAGGAGGCCTGGGGGCGGCAGGGAGGTGAACCGGGGAGGGCAGCCCAGGGTTAGACTGCCCAAGGCCTCAGAGACCACATCAGGGTCCTTATTCTAAGCCTCCAAGGTAGCCCTGGAGGGTTTGATCAGGGGGAATAGGGTGCAGAATATGTGGCAAAGATGGCCGAGGGGACCGAGAAGTCACAGCTGCTGGAGGGAGTCAGGAGGCCCGGGTAACAGAGGGGATTGTGGGGTGGGGGTAGCAGGCACTCCCAGGACAGGCCACACCTGCACAAGGAGGCCAGAGCTACACGCCACGACCTCTCGGCCCCCAGATGGGTTCACACAGGCCCGTGACTCTTCAACTCCAGCCACCTGGGCAGCCCGACACCCAAAGGGAACAGCCACTCATGACACACATGGGCTGTGCACGTGGGCATCCTCCCTCTGCTTCCCTCTCCGCCCTCTGCCTCCCTCTGCCTCCGTCTCCTCCCTCAGCCTCCCTCAGCCTCCGTCTCCTCCCTCAGCCTCCGTCTCCTCCCTCAGTCTCCCTCAGCCTCCCTCAGCCTCCGTCTCCTCCCTCAGCCTCCGTCTCCTCCCTCAGCCTCCGTCTCCTCCCTCAGCCTCCATCTTCTCCCTCAGCCTCCCTCTGCCTCCGTTTCCTCCCTCAGCCTCCATCTTCTCCCTCAGCCTCCCTCTGCCTCCGTCTCCTCCCTCAGCCTCCGTCTTCTCCCTCAGCCTCCCTCTGCCTCCGTCTCCTCCCTCAGCCTCCGTCTCCTCCCTCTGCTTCCCTCTCCGCCCTCTGCCTCCCTCTGCCTCCGTCTCCTCCCTCAGCCTCCCTCAGCCTCCGTCTCCTCCCTCAGCCTCCGTCTCCTCCCTCAGTCTCCCTCAGCCTCCCTCAGCCTCCGTCTCCTCCCTCAGCCTCCGTCTCCTCCCTCAGCCTCCATCTTCTCCCTCAGCCTCCCTCTGCCTCCGTCTCCTCCCTCAGCCTCCATCTCCTCCCTCAGTCTCCCTCTGCCTCTGTCTCCTCCCTCTGCCTCCGTCTCCTCCCTCAGCCTCCATCTTCTCCCTCAGCCTCCCTCTGCCTCCGTCTCCTCCCTCAGCCTCCATCTTCTCCCTCAGCCTCCCTCTGCCTCCGTCTCCTCCCTCTGCCTCCGTCTTCTCCCTCAGCCTCCCTCTGCCTCCGTCTTCTCCCTCAGCCTCCCTCTGCCTCCGTCTCCTCCCTCTGCCTCCATCTCCTCCCTCAGCCTCCGTCTCCTCCCTCAGCCTCCCTCAGCCTCCATCTCCTCCCTCAGTCTCCCTCTGCCTCCGTCTCCTCCCTCAGTCTCCCTCTGCCTCCGTCTCCTCCCTCAGCCTCCGTCTCCTCCCTCTGCCTCCGTCTCCTCCCTCAGCCTCCCTCAGCCTCCATCTCCTCCCTCAGTCTCCCTCTGCCTCCGTCTCCTCCCTCAGCCTCCGTCTCCTCCCTCTGCCTCCGTCTCCTCCCTCAGCCTCCATCTCCTCCCTCAGTCTCCCTCTGCCTCCGTCTCCTCCCTCAGCCTCCCTCTGCCTCCGTCTTCTCCCTCAGCCTCCCTCTGCCTCCGTCTCCTCCCTCTGCCTCCATCTCCTCCCTCAGCCTCCGTCTCCTCCCTCAGCCTCCCTCTGCCTCCGTCTCCTCCCTCAGCCTCCCTCTGCCTCCGTCTTCTCCCTCAGCCTCCCTCTGCCTCCGTCTCCTCCCTCTGCCTCCATCTCCTCCCTCAGTCTCCCTCTGCCTCCGTCTCCCTCCCTCAGCCTCCGTCTCCTCCCTCAGTCTACTCTGCTCCGTCGCCTCCCGCTGCCTCCGTCTCCTCCCTCAGCCTCCTCTGCCTCCGTCTCCTGCCCTCTGCCTCCGTCTCCTCCCTCAGCCTCCTCTGCTCCCTCCTCCCAGTCTCCCTCTGCCTCCGTCTCCTCCCTCAGCCTCCGTCTCCTCCCTCAGCCTCCGTCTCCTCCCTCAGTCTCCCTCTGCCTCCGTCTCCTCCCTCAGCCTCCGTCTCCTCCCTCTGCCTCCGTCTCCTCCCTCAGTCTCCCTCTGCCTCCGTCTCCTCCCTCTGCCTCCGTCTCCTCCCTCAGTCTCCCTCTGCCTCCGTCTCCTCCCTCAGCCTCCATCTCCTCCCTCAGTCTCCCTCAGCCTCCATCTCCTCCCTCAGTCTCCCTCTGCCTCCGTCTCCTCCCTCAGCCTCCGTCTCCTCCCTCAGTCTCCCTCTGCCTCCGTCTCCTCCCTCTGCCTCCGTCTCCTCCCTCAGCCTCCATCTTCTCCCTCAGCCTCCCTCTGCCTCCGTCTCCTCCCTCTGCCTCCGTCTTCTCCCTCAGCCTCCCTCTGCCTCCGTCTCTCCCTCAGCCTCACCTCTGCCTCCGTCTCCTCCCTCTGCCTCCATCTCCTCCCTCAGCCTCCGTCTCCTCCCTCAGCCTCCCTCAGCCTCCATCTCCTCCCTCAGTCTCCCTCTGCCTCCGGTCTCCTCCCTCAGCATCCGTCTCCTCCTCTGCCTCCGTCTCCTCCCTCAGCCTCCATCTCCTCCCTCAGTCTCCCTCTGCCTCCGTCTCCTCCCTCAGCCTCCGTCTCCTCCCTCAGCCTCCGTCTCCTCCCTCTGCCTCCGTCTCCTCCCTCAGCCTCCCTCAGCCTCCATCTCCTCCCTCAGTCTCCCTCTGCCTCCGTCTCCTCCCTCAGCCTCCGTCTCCTCCCTCGGCCTCCCTCAGCCTCCATCTCCTCCCTCAGTCTCCCTCTGCCTCCGTCTCCTCCCTCAGCCTCCATCTTCTCCCTCAGCCTCCCTCTGCCTCCGTCTCCTCCCTCTGCCTCCATCTCCTCCCTCAGCCTCCGTCTCCTCCCTCAGCCTCCCTCTGCCTCCGTCTCCTCCCTCAGCCTCCCTCTGCCTCCGTCTTCTCCCTCAGCCTCCCTCTGCCTCCGTCTCCTCCCTCTGCCTCCATCTCCTCCCTCAGTCTCCCTCTGCCTCCGTCTCCTCCCTCAGCCTCCGTCTCCTCCCTCTGCCTCCGTCTCCTCCCTCAGTCTCCCTCTGCCTCCGTCTCCTCCCTCTGCCTCCCTCTCCTCCCTCAGTCTCCCTCAGCCTCCGTCTCCTCCCTCAGCCTCCGTCTCCTCCCTCAGCCTCCGTCTCCTCCTCTGCCCTCCCTCTCCTCCCTATCCTCCCTCAGCCTCCGTCTCCTCCCTCGCCTCCATCTCCTCCTCATCGCTCCAGTCTCCCCCTCAGCCTCCCTCAGCCTCCATCTCCTCCCTCAGTCTCCCTCTGCCTCCGTCTCCTCCCTCAGCCTCCGTCTCCTCCCTCTGCCTCCGTCTCCTCCCTCAGCCTCCGTCTCCTCCCTCTGCCTCCATCTCCTCCCTCAGCCTCCGTCTCCTCCCTCAGCCTCCCTCAGCCTCCATCTCCTCCCTCAGTCTCCCTCTGCCTCCGTCTCCTCCCTCAGCCTCCGTCTCCTCCCTCTGCCTCCATCTCCTCCCTCTGCCTCCGTCTTCTCCCTCAGCCTCCCTCTGCCTCCGTCTCCTCCCTCTGCCTCCATCTCCTCCCTCAGCCTCCGTCTCCTCCCTCAGCCTCCCTCAGCCTCCATCTCCTCCCTCAGTCTCCCTCTGCCTCCGTCTCCTCCCTCAGCCTCCGTCTCCTCCCTCTGCCTCCGTCTCCTCCCTCAGTCTCCCTCTGCCTCTGTCTCCTCCCTCTGCCTCCGTCTCCTCCCTCAGCCTCTGTCTCCTCCCTCTGCCTCCATCTCCTCCCTTAGCCTCCCTCTGCCTCCCTCCCTCTCCCCCTCTCTCGCTCTCTGCTGCAATGTGGCAGCCCCCTCCCCGGGTCTGCAGCTGAGGCTGAGATGCACGCCCCAGTGCCCGCAGAGGCCTAGCTCCAGGCCAGGCGCCTGGCTCTCCCCTGCCCAGCTGCCCGCACCCCGGGGGGGCACTCACTGGAGTAGTAGGCTACCAGCTGCTGCAGGCTATTGAACTGGGTGCGAGAGGTGATGTAGAAGCCGCCGCTGTCCAGCTTGCGGATCTTGTAGTGCTTCACATTGAGGCCCTTGGCGTTGTCGAAGTCGGACACTGAGAGGCAGTAGGCGCCTGCAGGAAAGGGCCGGAGAGCGGCTGTGACCCCCGCCTGTCACGCCCACAGGGCACTAAGCACAGTTCTGTGCCCGTCTGACACAGGAGGGGAGAGGGAAGCCAGGTCGGCAGCTCCAGGGCACAGCCAGGTCTGCTTCAACCCACCTCTGAGGCGGCCACCGAGACGGGCCAAGGCAGCAAAGGGGCACCTGGCCAGAAAGCTGTGCCACGCACCCTTGGCCTTGGCAAGACTTCTGAGGCCTGCGTAAGCATCCCAACTTGTGACCTGAACAAGTCGCTTGCCCTCTCTGGGCCTCAGTTTCCTCCTCTGCATAACGGGCCTACTCACAGGGCTGCTGGGAAGATTCAATAAGACTACATATAAGAGGGCCTAGCACATAGTAGGTGCTCAATTAAATGTCTTCTGGGAGTGTAGAAAGGGCCCCAAGTGGCTGTGTGTCCCCAGACTAACTGCTTCCCCTCTCCAGGTCTGCCCTCAGGAGCACTGTCTGTGTCCCACCACTTCCTGAAGGCTCCAGGCTCAGGTAGGAGCCGGTGGTGGGCTGAGGCTGCGGCGGGCGAGGGCAGGAGCCCATGTGATGAGCATGGCCTGATGCTCAGCTGAGTCAGCCATACTGGCCTACTCCTTGCTTTCCTTGAGCCTGGAAAAGCTTTGGGCTGGACAAACTTCCTCCCGCCCAGCAGGCCTTGCTAGGAACCTCTGTTAACCTGAGCCCAAGAGGCGGAGGCATCAGGGACCAAGGCTGAGCCCCAGAGGCGGGGGCGGCGGGAGCAGAAGCGCCAGAGGCCAGAGAAAGCCCTCCTTGGAGGCAGTGTACAGGTATCGTGCTAGAAGCCCAGCCCCCATGGCCACAGACTCTCTGGACAGTCCTCCGGTAGGGGTTAAAATCTGTGTAAAGAAGGGAAAATGGGGTCCAGAGAGGAAAAGCAGCTGGGCATTAGGTCACACAGCAAGTCAGGTGCCGAGCTGGGACTTGAATGAGGTCCCTTCAGCCTGCATGGGACAACAGTGACTTCCTGCTGATGGCCCAGGCCCTGTGCACATGAAAGCCACAGGCCTGAGCCTGAAGCCAGGCCCTGACCACATGTGCACACACACAGGCAAGCCTGTGCCCAGTGGCTGCCTGCTCACGAAGGTACACACTCCCCAGGCCCACAGGCCTGAAGACAAACCCACAGCAATTCCTCCCACGCAGCAACACGCACAATTCCACTCCCACGTGCACACACATGGCATGCACAGCTACACGATCGCTCCTGAATGCACATGTGTGTCATGGATGATCTGCTTTCCCATCTCCTGCTGAGCCCCAGGCCCATAGGAAGTGGCTCAGCTTCGTTGCCATAGTGATGGGGTGCCTGCAACCCACGTGCAGAGGGGCTGGAGAGAAAGCAGTGATATGGGTGATACATACCTGCATTCTCTTGCTGGGGGAAGGGACAAAAGAACAGGGGCCAGGACTGCAGAGGGAAGGGAAAAGCCAGGTCCCAGGACCCAGTCCAGCCCCAGAGGCCCCCCAAGAAGGGGAAGAAGAGGGGCCCATTGTATTAGCACCCACGCTGGGAACAAGCCTTTAGCTGTGTGACCTCCAGTTCTCCTGACAATCTGCCCATTCCTCATCTGAGGAAACTGAGGCCAGAGAGGCTAAATGTCCTCTTTTACTGCACCTCTGGCCACCCAAGATAACTTAGTGTTCCTCAAATGTACCTCTCTGCCTTCGATCCTGAGATTTCCTCCACCTGGAGGGTTCTTACCACTTCACTCCATACACCAAACTCCTATTCATTCTGCAACACCCAGCTCAAACGACCACAAAGACTCAGTTCCCACTGGCCAGCAGGAATACACATACCTTTCGTGGTCTCACTTTCTCGCACTAGGAAGGTCCCTCTCGGGTTCTCCGTATTGAGCAGTAACCGTTCTGACTCCCGTCTGGTGATCTTGCCGAAGTACCACCTGGCACGGTAGGGAGGAGGGATGGTATTGGTGGTCCGAGCTTCTGCCCACCCACAGGGCCTCCGCCTGGGAGGTGGCTGCAGCCCTAGCAGCCAGGCCTCCCACCCCAGCCCAGGACCGGCAGCAACGGTGAGCAGGCAGGAACCAGAGTCCATACTCACTCCTCAGCCTGGATGGAGTCGGAGGGTGCCACGTAGTTGCTGGGGATGTAGCCCGTCTGCCCCGTGCTGAGCGAGTGGGCCAGCCACCAGTCTCCCTCTCTGAGCGGGGGAGGGAGAGAACAAAGGAGAAGGGAGTCGTCAGCAGTGGCCGGTGCCTGCTATGGTCAGGGGCACTGTGCTGGAGCCCTTGAGGCCAAGGACAGCACAGGGAGCAGTGGGCCAGGCCCCGCAACCTGCCAGGCAAAGCTGGCCTGGAGCCCTTCCTCTCTCTGGCCCAGATGCCTCTTGGCCAGAGCTCACTCAGGCGGGCTTTGTCCAGGGCCACGGTAAGGCTGCCCTTGGTCAGCCGGAAGCCTGAATTCCCAGAGGCAGAGTCCTGGATTGGGAAGTGATCCCGCTGCCCTCGGATAGACCAAGCCATCTCAAGCTGCCAAGAGCTGCCTTGGAAGTGAGGTAGGGAGCTCCTGGTCTCTGGGAAGCAAGCAAGTTATAGCAGGAGAGAAGATTCCTGTCCGAGATGGTGTCAAATCAGACCATGAAAGCCTCCCCAAGCCCTGAGATTTGGAAGTCCAATCCTGGGAGCTGGTGAGACCTGGGTGGAGGCAAGGGGTGGCCCTTTTGGGGCTTGATGACAATCCAGGTGCCAACCCTGCCAACTAGAGCAACGCTTGCCTTTGTCACAAATCACAGGTCACACCTAAAGGGCTCCTTGGCTAAAAACTACAGGCAGGCGTCCTCTTGCAACCTGCCCACCCACAGGGGAAACTGAGGCCAGAGAGGGCTGGGACTTGCCCGAAATCACACAGCGAGTCATGTCAGAGGGGGCTGGTGGCGGAGCCCCAACGCCCAGGGCACTCCTACACTAACTGCCCCACGAGGAGGAAGAGGTGCTGGGGACCGGGGCAGGAGGAGCTCCCCACATGGTCGGGTCCCCTGGGCCTGGGAGGGCGTAGGGAGGGGCGAAGTACCTTTGCAGCCATCTGAATGTGAACCAGGTCTGGCTGGAGCGGGGGTCCAGAGACACAGAGGAGAGAGGAGAAAGCGAGAGCCCAACAGGAAAGAAGAGGCAGAGATGGGGGTGGTGAGAGAGAGAGGCAGGAGCGAGGGAGAGAGCAGGACAGCCAGGCGGGGCTGGGGATGGGAGACGAGGGGGCAGCCACAGAGGCCTCGCATCCAAAGCAAACCAAGGGGCTGGGGAGAGGGTCCATGAGGAATGTAGGGGCGATGGACAGGATGCCTGGGAAATAGGGTCCGGCTCCCCCCTGCCCCCACTGTGCAGATGGGAAGATTGACGCCAGAGAAGCAGAGGCCTGTGCTCAAAGCCACAGCAGGCCCAGGCTCCTGACTGCCGGATAAGAAGGCCTCTGCCCTACGAGGCCTGAGAGCTGCTGGACTCCGGCCCGGAAGGACGCCTCTGGGCCTCGCCACGACCCGAGGAGACACACAGCGAGCCGAGGGTGCTCCCTCCCCATCGCAGGGCCCAGAGAGAGGAAGGCCCTTGCCAACAGTCACACAGGCTGCATCTGAACCCACATCCCTGGTTCACCTGAGTTTCTTCAACCCATTTTGAAGACAGAGAAGTTGAGGCCAGGAGAGTACGGGGCTGGGGGACCTCTCCAAGGACCTGGGGGAGTATGATCACCCAGACGGGGGCTCAGCCGTGGGGGAGGGGATGCGGCTGAACCGGAGGGGGCAGGGTCCCTTCTGGGTGGACTGAGGTGAAGGCAACATGACGAGGGCTGTGCAGGCCGACCGCTGTGCCATGGCTGACGCACACTCAGGCGTGAACACCGTCCACGTGGGAGCTTCCGCAGGAGAGGGGGGCCCCGGAGTAAGGGGGCAAGGCCCACCTCAAGGAAAGGAGTCACTGGACGCCCAGGACCTCCGTCCACCACCTGTTGTGCACCCGCCCAGGGGTGCCCACTCTTGTCTGCCCCACTTGACCCTCAAGGCCACCCTGAGAGGGAGGAAGGCTGGGATCAGCCTCCAGACCAGGAAACCAGCCCCAGGGACACCCAGCACCCAGGCTGGGGTAACCTAGCACTGTCTTTGTAGAGTTGGGGAAACCGAGGCACAGAGAGGCACCGAGACTTGCCCAAAGCTCCAATGCAAGGATTCAAGTCACAGGGAACAGCTAAGATGTTCCAGTCCAAAGCCTTCATTTCACCAGTGGGGAAAATAAGGCACAGAGAAAGGTGGTGATTTTCCCAAAGCCATAGAGCAACTTAGTGGCAGAGCCAGCGTGAGAACCAGGCCCCCGAGTGCCCGCAGCCAGACCCAGCAGGCCTCCAGGACACCTGCAGCCTCCCTCCTCAGGCCCCCCAAGGCTCAGAGCCCCTCAGGGAAGCCAGGGGAAAGTGGAGGAGGAGGCAGCGGGGCTGGGGGCAGGGCACTGGGCCAAGGTCTAGGTCACAGGCTACATGAGGCAGATTGACAGAACCAGAGCCTGAAAGCTGACCAGCCTCTGGGGAGCCCCCAGCCACCAACTCAGAATGGAAGGCCGGCAGAGCATGTACCCAGAGGCCAAGCAAGTAGAAACCCCAGAAGCAACGGGGGTCCAGTTCTGCTGACATTAACCAGACTTCAGCACACAGAGCCTTTAGCTCCCCGACATCAGCCCACAGGTGAGTCTGGGCTCCCAGCCCAGTGTGAGTTTTAGTTCACAAGGGCAGGAAGGGTGGCGCAGAGGAATCTCACTAAAGGGCCTGGCCCCAGCTCGACAGGTGTCAGAGCCTGAGCACCAGAGTCAACCAACCTGGGTACCATCCCAGCTCACCACTTGCAGGCTGCGTGACCTTGTCCCTGCCTCAGTTTCCTCATCTGTAGGATGGGGATACTCATGCATCCCTCCGAAGATGTAAAATACCAGCACAAAGCCTGGCACACAGTAGATGCTCATTGTGCATAAACTGTTAATATCTTGATTTGGCTAAAAAAAAAAACAAAAAAAGAATCTGTATCTCAATGGTGCCCCTTTCCCCACGCTCCAAAACAGTTTTTTAAAACCAAAGAAGCTCAGTCCATTTCCAATAAGGATTTGCTGTGTGACCTTGGGCAAGTACCCTGCCCTCTCTGGGTCTCAGTTTCCTCATCTTTAAAAAGGAAATAAGACTTTTTATTTCCTTTTCCACAGAATCTCCCTTGCAGCAAAGTGTGTCAATCAGTCAGTATCAAGCCAGCTTCAGCTTCAATAAGACAATTACTGTGATTATCATCTGAGCTTCAGTTTACCTACCTGGGAAATGGAGCCATCAAGCCCCATCCTCCCAAATCTATGGTCTGGGAGACTCAAACCTGCCGCAGGTGGCTGCCAAGGGCCTGCGGCTGCTCCTACAGGAGATGCCCCACAGATTCCCAGACCACTCCAGTCCTGCAGGGACACCAACCCAGGCCCCACCTCGGAAGTAACAGCTGGTTAATCTATCAGGATGAGCAGATTCATGCAATCTGGCACCTTCCCTGGGACCTAGTCCCAGGAAAGAAGGAAGGGAATAAGACATTCCCTGCCAGACCCCTCACCTTGCCACCTGTGGCCAGAAGAGAAGGACCAGAAGACCCTGGGATATGATTCCAACTGCTGCTCACCAGCTGTGTGACCTCAGGCTACTGTCCTCACCTGTCTGAGCCCCAGGACCCTCTTTTTGGATCCTAATCTTTGCCCTGGCCGGGCTGGTATGTGAATCAGGCTGGTGGCAGCTTCGGAACCTAAGAAGTTATGCCCATTCGGGAGCTTCTATACTGGCCAGAGAAGCACTCGGGGGCCTGCAGGCAAGTTTGGCACCTGGGCATGGCCCAAGCAGGCAAGTTTCCTGAGGCCTGGGCACATGGCACATGGGAGAGGGCAGGGTGAGGCGAGGGCAGATATAGGAGGAGGGCTGGAAGGTGTACCTTGCCTCATGGTGGGGAGTGCCCAGGGCAGGCTGGCAGAGGTTAGTGCCTGCTGGAGAGCTCCCCCAAAGAAGCTGCTAGAATCTGGGTGGGAGGAAGGGGCAGTTCAGGGAGCAGCCCAGAGTCAGACCCAGAGGGGCCCTGACTCCTGAGACTCAGACACCAGGGCTGGGAAGTCAGACCTCAGACCCCAGCGGGCGTCCTCAGACCCAGGGCCACAGAGCACCCAGGGTCTAGGACTCGGGGCCATATGGCATGAAGATCTGGGAGCAGGAGCTCCAGGCCACCCCAACCAGCCAGCCCTGGCCAAACCTCAGCGGCAAATGGGCTCATCCTTACGCTCTCCATCTCCCCTGACACCCAGCCCAGGGTAGACTGGAAAAGTCCCTCACTTATATGGGGAGGTGGGGGGTAGTGCAGGGGGCAGGGAGATTAAACAATAATGGACCCTAAGCAATAACGATGGAAGGACGTGGAGGGTGAGAGATGAGACCTGAACACCTCAAACTTGGGTGGCCCACCTTCCAATAAGCACCCCCAATCCCTTTATCCCTCCTCTTTCTCCAATGCAGGGGTGGGGAACCTTTTCTCTGCCAAGGGCCATTTGGGTATTTTTAACATCATTCACGGGCCATACAAAATTATCAAGTTAAACAAAATTATCAACTTAAAAATTAGCCTGCTAGCCCTGGCCAGTTTGGCTCAGCGGTTAGAGCGTCGGCCTGCGGTCCTGAGAGACCCGGGTTCGGTTCCCGCTAAGGGCACGTACCTCGGTTGCAGTTTGTCCCCGGCCCTGGTCGGTCGTGCGGGTGGCAGCCACTCAATGTGTCCCTTTCACGTCGATGTTTCTCTCTCTCTCTCTCTGTTCCTCTCTCTCCCTCCCGCTCTACCTGAACAAAAAATGGAAAAATGTCCTCAGGTGAGGATAAAAAAAAAAAAAGTAGCCTGCTATATTTGGTCAGGCTCCTTCGATGAGGTGTGTGATGTGAACTGGCATTGATTTTGTAGGTCTTAGACGGCCGGAGGTTCCCCACCGGGAACCTGCCCAGCTCTGCCTCCTCCAGGCTGGTCAGGGGAGGGGGCGGCTGAGCACTGTGTGTGAGGGAGGACTGTGGACTCACCCCCACCCCAGTCAGGGCTTCCCATGGCCAGGGCTCCATCACTGCTGTCCTGAGAGCACCAGGCTGGGCGAACCCACTCAGCCCGCCCCAGAGGCGGGGCAGGGCAGGGAAGGAGTGGACAGAGCAGCGGCGAGGGCTGCGCTGGGCCTCTGGGTGAAGATGCAGAATCAAACTTTCCAAAGCCTTTCCTCCCGCGGCAGCTCTGCTCAAGCCTGGCCCAAGATGCCCTCCCCATTGAGATTTCCCCAGTTCTTCAAAGCCTCCAACCAGATGCACCCTCCCCTGCACGGCCTTTCCCTCCCCTGGCTCCTCTGCACCTCCACAGAACCCCACCAAGGGCCACGGGTCACACCTGCCCCTCGCAGCTCTGCCACCGCTAACCGTGTGACCTCTCTGGGCCTCAGTTTCCTCATCTGTAAAATGGAGCAAATATGCATTTCCACTTCCCAGGGCAGTGGTGATGTATAAATAAAACAATGCACTCACAGCGCTCAGCATGAAACCTGGCTCACACACAAAGCACAACAGACGGTGCTAGTCCATTCCTGTTCATTCATCTGGTCCACCTGCACCAGGGGACACCCCCAGCGTGCCGAGCCACGATGACAGGAAGACCCAGAAACGTGGCGGACCGGAGAGCAGCCCTCCAGGTGCTCCCAGTTTGGGGGCAGGCAGATGCAAACAGCGGGAACCATGAGAGACCTGCAGTGACCCTAGGACTTGGACGAACAAGGGGGCAGAAGGTGGGAAAACTCCCTCCCTCAGGGAGAGCAGCTTGAGTCAGGGAGAGAGCCGCTGCCCAGGTTCCAATCCTGGCTTTGCTATTTGGAAGCTGTGTGACCTTGGACAAGGGCCTCCACATCTCTGAGCCTCAGTTTCCTCCTTTGCAAAATAGACACATCCCCTCCCCCCATCACTACAGCCCTGGCAGGATTATAGCTGAGTGAATTTAGGGACACAGGTTAAAAATGCCCGGAACGGCACCTGGCACCTCTTTTCCCTTTTGCCTCACAGAGAGGGCAGTCCTCATCTGGACCCTGAGGGGTGAATAGGAGTTTGCCAGGCAGAGATGGGACAGGGGCATTTCAGGCAGAGGGAACAGCATGCACAAGGGCAGGGAGGCATGAACAAGCAAGACTCGCTGGGAGAGGGTGGAGATATCCAACCTCCTTAGCCAGGCCTTCGAGGACACTCATGGATCAACTCTACTCTGTCTTCTAGAACCTTCTTACCCTTCCACAGCCCCAAAGCTATCAGCCCCTCTAGCGCTGCCCCTCCCACCAGCTGCCCCTCTGCCAGGGCTGCCTTCCACTGCCTCCACCTGCCACGTGACTCTGTTCCTCCTCCAAGGACCTGCTTGGAACTCCCAGTCCCTGTGGTCACCTCCAGGCGGGGCACACAGCAGAGGCCCAAACGCCTGGGCTGACCCTGGGCCCACCCTCTGCCTGCTGCTTGGCCTGGACTGGGCTGGCTCCTGGCCACACTCTGGCCCCAGGAAGGCGTGGACGAGGCCTCTCCACCCAGGCCCCAGCGGGCCCCGCTGGCCATGCGTGCAGCGGGCACTCAGTGTGGGCTGATGGGTCAGAATGAGGAGCGGGTGAGTTAGGAGGGTGGATGGGAGCAACAGGGGAGATGGGAGGACCCTCCCCATTCTCAGCCTGGGGTTCAAGTAGGGACCTGGTCAAACTGGCTGGGGGTGAGGACATAAGCCGGGGAGCTGGTGGCAGGCAGCCCAGGGAGCCAGGACCACAGGCAGGGACGCAGCCACATGCAGACAGCAGCCCCACCCCCACCAGCAAAGTGCCCCCACCCAGCCCGCCCACAACGTATGTACACACCTGACATCCACCTTCCTCCTAAGGCCAGCGAGAGAAAAGCAGAGAGAGGGAGAAGCTGAGAGAGGGTTGGAGGAAGCAAGCGCGGGCCAGGAATGGGGGGCCCCAGGCTGCAGGGGTTGGGGGGCACAGCCAGCGCTGCCAAGGGCAGCAACGCAGCGGGGACAGGCTCTGCCCTGCCCTGCCAGCACTCCTGTGAGAGCAAACCCCACCCCACCCCACCCCGTAGCCTTCCACCACCCCCGCCCCTGGGCACATGGCCCAGAGGCGGCACCGCGCCCCAGGACAGGCGCTGCACCCCCTCCCACAGCACCCTAGGCAGGGAAAGAAGAGGGGGGACAGGAGGAGGACCCCCACCCACCCCTGCTCCCCTGTCCACAGAGGCCCCAGAGTCTGGCATGGGCCATAGGCCAGCTTGGCTCTAGGATGCCCTACCCCAAGGCGGAGTCCCTGGAGGTGAACCAGACGCCTGCCAGGGAGTCCTGCCCTCCATACCCTATCCCGCCATTGTGTCCACATGCCCAAACTTGACTTTCTCATACTGGGTGCCCAATATGGGTTCCCCAACCCTCCCAATGTGGGCTCCTCCCCCTACACTGGACATCCTGGCTTAACCGGCTACCCCAGGCCCTCCAGCCCCAGGTCACTAATGAGGGCACCTCTGTGGGCATAGCCTCCAGCTCAGGCCCTGTTTCTTTGTAGCCCTGGGTTCTGGCCCTGTTCTGCCCTGACCACATGCCCCTCTGCAGAGTCTGGGATCTGGGGTGCTATGCCCTGTTGACCAGTTACTGAACCCAGATCCCTGTCCCAGGGGCCCTCCCGGAGCCCCAGCCGCCACCACTTGCCTCCTTATCACTCGTGTAGGCCCCAGGACAGTTTCCTGGCCCTCAGCCAGCCTTGGCGCTCGGCTCTGCCTGTTACCCGTCACGCTGCCCCCTGGGTCCAGGATGCTCAGAAGTGGTTCTGGCCCAAGACTGGGCCCAAGGAATGGGGTCTCCAGAGACAATGGGGAAGGGGGGCACTCACGTGTTGTTGACAATCTGGAGCCGTTCCCCTTTCTTGAAGGATAGGTCAGTCTCTGTCCGTGACTCATAGTCATAGAGGGCCACAAAGGTGGTCACTCCACCTGAAGAGAGGGGTGGGGCGTATCAGAATGGCAGAGGCCATGCCCAGAGAGAGGGGTGGACAAAAAGGCCCTGGACCCTGACCAGCCAGTGTGGCTCAGTGGATTGAGCATCGTCCCATGGACTGAGAGATCCTAGTTCAATTCCTGGTCAGGGCACATGCCAGGTTATGGGCTCAGTCCCCAGTGGGGAGCGTGCAGGAAGCAGCTGATCGGTGTGTCTCTCTCACATATATGTTTCTCTCTCTCTCTCCCTTCCTTTGTCTCTAAAAAAAATCAATAAAAATTAAAAATAAATAAATAAATAAAGGGCCCTGTACCCTGAAGGGAGTGGGGTTGGTCTCCCAAATGCCATCAGAGCCCAGCCCAGAGGCATGGTCACACTCAGAGGGGGTGGGCCTCTATGCATGTCTGACTGTCCGTGTGTCTGGCACCCCTGTGAGGACATGCAGAAGGCATGTGCATCTCTTCATGTCTGAGTGTCCCACTGGGCTCTGGGTGATGCTGGGTGTTGGCTGTTTGGTGTCTGTCTTCTCCGTAGAACCACTAACAGGCATCTTTGTTTCATTCCCAGAGCCCTACATAGTAGGTGCTCAAGAAATAACTGCGGAATGAATGAGCCAGTGAATAAAGGAAATTGCACCAGGGGACGTTGCTCTATTTCTCTGTCTGGGTGCTTCTGTGTGTCTGGAGAGAGCTTGGCAACACGGAACTGTCCCCTCAAAGAGGCCCTCTCTGTCCCCCATTGGTTTTATTAATTGATGTATTTATTTTTGTTACAGATGTGTCTCCTTTTTCCCCCATTGACATCCTCCTCCCCGCTCCCGCCTCCCTTTCACAGTATTGTTGTCTATGTCCATTGGTTATGCACACATGCATATAAGTTCTTCGGTTTATCTCTTCCCGCCCTCCCCTCCCCCTTCCTCTGAGGATTGTCAGTCTGATCTCTACTTCCATGTCTCTATTTTGTTCATCATATTCCACAAATAAATGAGATCATGTGGTAGTTGTCTTTCTCTGACTGGTTTATTTTGCTTAGCATAACACTCTCCAGGTCCCTCCATTTCATCTCAAAGGATAAGAGACATTTCTTCCTTACAGCTGCATAGTATTCCATTGTCTCTGTCCCCCATTTGAATTATAACCTCCTCCCCCCATCCATCTCTGCTCCTTCTCACCAGTTACCACCTTCTGACACGCAGCACAGTTTACCTGCCTTGCTTTGCTTCTCTCCCCCATGAGGGCTTCTGTCTGCTTTACACACTGCTGTGTCTCCAGGCCAGAAGAATCCTGGCACTCAGTAGAGGTGCCACAAATATTTCTCGATCTAATGAATGAGTGTGTTTGTGGGTCTGTCTCACTTGGATCTGTGTCCGTGTCTGAGGGGTCCATGAGCATCCGTGTGTCTCTGTGTATTTGTGTCCTCACTGCATGTATGTGCATTTGTGCCTCTGTGAGTCTGTGGGTATCCATGAATCCATTTCATAAGCATGTCCGTGTCCTGTGTGTGTCTTTGAAGGGCTTTTGACTACACGTGTGTGTCTTCATCTGGGAGCATGAAGCTATTTGTGTGTGTGCATCTGCACTGGATGTGTGTCTGTGACTAGGGAATGCACACCCACGTGTCCCTGAGCGTGTCTCTATGTGTGAGGTGTGTGCGTGTCTATGATGGAGTCTCCAGCTCAGCACATGTACATGTCTTGCATGGGTGTCTCTGAATGAGTTGCTGACTCTGTGTGTGTAACCATGAGTGTGTGGCTCCATGTGAGTGTACAAGTGCTTATGTGTCATGTCTGTGTGTCTCCAGGACCACATCTGCCTCTTTCTGAGCATCCCTGTCTGGGCTGCTATTCCCCACAATGCCAGCAGAGGGCGAAGGGGCGCATCTCAGCATCAGGTGGGCCTCTGAAGAGGAGCTTCCATTCTTCCTCCCAACCGGCCTAGTGCCTTTTGCCACGCACCAGCCACCTGTTCCGCCCATCTCTGGACTGACCAGAGCAAAGAGCAAAGCCTCAGACCTACTCCCTATGCTGCCCTGCGCAGCACCCTGGCTCTCTGGGCCTCAGTTCCCCCTACAGTCCTATATCTCTAGACGCCTTTACACTCTGCATCTGACGGGCTATGCACCACACGTCCCCTTCCCCACCCACAGCCTCTAGGAAACTCCCCAGAGTCCCCAAGGCCAAGTACCCCATAGACTCTTCCCCTTTAGTGAGCAAAAGAAACATCAGCCCAGAGGGGCGCCGCTCCCCCGGGTCACAGCTCTCCTAGCAGAGCAAGTCGACTGACCGGCCAGCGGCCCCGCCCTCTGCGGGGAAGTGACTGTGTCCGAGGAGTTGAAGCCGCCAAACAGCTTGGGCTCCGCAGCAGCGGGGGAGAAGGCCGTGTTGGGGCCCCGGTGGCCATCAGTGGAGGCTGGCTTGCTGGGCGTCTGTGAGGTGGGGAAGGCACCCCCACCGCCACCACCATGGGCGTTCTCAGCAGGCTCCAGGCTGCGGCGCCGCTGGCTGGCATCCTTGGGCTTGCTCTTGTTGCTGCCCATGGTCCTGGCTGGAGGAGAGAGGACGCTGGAGTGAGGAGGGGCTCTGGAAGCAAGCAGGGCTGCCTGGGCCCCTTAGACAGCCTCTACCCTAACCCTTTCTCCAGATGGGGAATCTGAGGCCCAAGAAGGGTACTAGTCTCTTTGGGTAAGTTAAGCTTTCAGAGACTCAGTTTCTTCATCTGTAAAATGGGAAAAATGATGTCACCCATAAAGGGCTTCCTTGGTACAGGATCAAGCACCAAAGAAACCTCATAATCAGAAGCCCTAAGCTCTCCCACATTCCCCTGAGTCACACCGTTTCTGTCCCTCGTGGGCAGGGACAGTATCTGAGTCATGTCTATGTCCCACGCACTCAACACATAGGAGAGGGCTCACTGAGGGTTTGTTGAGTGAATAAATGACAGACTGAAATTGTCTAATACCAAGGGGAAAGGTGCTAAAAATTGCAACCAAATCAGGGATACAGCAGGCCGCTAAAAAAGGAGAAGTGGCTGGGAATTCCCTCCAGCCACAGGGCCTTTGTATGTACTGTTCCCTCTGCCTGAATGCTCTTCTCTGACCCCCTTCACCAGGATAACTCATGCATCCCTCAGTTCTCAGTTCATAAGTCACTTCCTTGGGAAGTGTTCCCCAAATTCTCTCACTGGTTTAAATTCCTGTGACTTTTGTGCCTCTCCTAGGTAACATGTAGCCCAGTATTCATTAAACTTTTATTCATGTGATTATATTATTCATGTCATGGGCTACAGCCTGTCTAATTCACTGCTATGCTCCCAGTACCTAGCACAGAGTATGGTACAAAGTAGGTGCTCAATAAACAGCTAAATAAAAAAAATTTTCTGAGCCAGAAATTTGGCAGGTCTAGAAATCGGAAACACAGAGAACCAAGCTGAAAACCCCCCAGTGATATCCATTGCCCTGCCACACCCTTTTGCCTCATACTTCTCCATTCTCGGGTCCTGGCTAGCCCTGGCTCCCACCAAGCCCAGCCTGGGTCTCCCCACCCATCATGGCCACCCTTCCCTGCTCCCTCATCTTGGCAGCCCTGACGGGTCCTCACCTCACCTGGTGGAAGGCAGGGGCTGCCCCAGAGGACCTGGGAAGCAGCCTGGGGTCTCAGCAAACACCAGGTGTGGAGTTGGGGGTCGTGGACCAAAGGCCCTGCTCCACCTCTTCCTACTCTGTGATCCTAGGCAAGTCACTTCCCCTCTCTGGGCCTCAGCATCCTCATCTGCAACACAGAGATAAAGCAAACTCTCAGGGTTGTTGTAAGAATGTAGTAAGAAAGAGAAATCACCATGACTGTGACTTGTGGGTCGTGATTTATCAGGCTCTGGCTCTGGTAGACCCGAAGCTAAGAGTTTTGCAGACCTGAAATTTCTTCTACCCCCCAGAAGCATTTTATGAACGAGAGCAAGGCTGAGTGGGGCACAGCGGTTAAGGGTGGGCTCTGAAGCCAGACTCCCCCGCTCAGATCCTGGCTCTGCCACTGATCAGCTGCGTGACCTCAGGCAAGTGACTTAACTTCTCTCTGTGCCCTGTTCCTTCACCTGGAAACGACTGGGTTATTGTGATCACTGAATGAGGCAAGGTAGAGTGCTGGGAACACAGCAGGTCACCCTGCCATGTCAGCTTTCATTGATCTGTGTGGCTCTGGACACACTAGCTGGGTGGGTTCCATTGTTCTCCAGGGGATGCTGCAGGCCCTGGAATTAGTCCAGAATTTCCTCTGGATGGAGAAAAGTCCCCTTGACGGTTGGGACCTAAGCTCCAAGTGCAGTTGTGACCCCGCTCCTTATGTGAACCTCAGCTGGTCTCTACCCTCTGGGCCTCAGCCTGCTTGGCTGCACAGTGGGGGTGTGGCCTGCATGCTCCCTGGGGTCCATCCAGCTCAGAAAATGTGAGGCTGGGGAGGCCCTGGGGAGACCTGCTCAATAGCCCAAAGGATCACCAGGGCCTCCTGAGGGACCAATGGGCCTGGGGATAGGAATGGCCAATTTCTATGGCAACCCAATCCATTGAGGTCACAGTGCCCATCAGCACCCGTGGGACCTACTGACCTGGTTACCCGCATTCCCAGGCTTGATGAAGGCTGAGCCCCAACCACCATACCCCCAAACCACTTGCTCCCTGGTACAGCGTTCACAGCACCAACTGTGCAGCAGGCCTTCTGTTAATCACTACAGGGGGACAAAAAGATGAATTGGCCAGGTCCTGCCTCAGAGGGTGCATGCCCTAACAGGGGACTTTGTTTGTGGGACTTTGAGAGAAAATGAAAATTATAAAAATACATTTTTTAAAAAATGTTTAAATGAAGAACTTTCTAAGATCCCAAACTTTCTTTACAACTAACTAAATGATTAAGAGTGAGCCCCCTGTCACTGGAGGTAACCAAGAACAAGAGATAGGGTACTTGGCTAATGTACTGTGGAGTGAGGAGAGCCAGAGCTGGACATTAGAGGTTCTTCTAGCACCAAGAGGATATATGTGCCCTCTGGGGAGGGGGTGAAGAAAAAAAGACAGCTCCAAGCCCCTAAACTCTTACACTAACCAAGAAGACCACTCCCCACTGGGACACTCAGAAAAAGCATAAGAGAGCCTTCAAGACCAGACCAAGGTGGCTCAGGACCTCTGACTGCAATATTTCCAATTTATAGGGTTTGCTCTTTTATGGGGGGTGGGGGGTCCTTGTGGTTGATTCTAATTATACAAGTAACACGTTTGTGGAGAGGAGGCAGGTTGAGGTTAAGAGCTACCTATGTTTGAATCCCAGCCCTGCCACCCTGGCATGGGACCCTGCGCCTCAGCTTCCTCCCGTCTCCTGGGGATGACAACAGTACCACACCACAGGGCTGCTGGGAGAACGTGAGAAAAGTGCATGGAACACGCATTTCCTTCTGGCATCCTATGAATGCAGGATGTAAACTGGGAGCCATGAAGTGCCCTGGGCCATAAGCTCCCTGCGGGCAGGACCAGGGTGGATCCACCTCCACATCCCCAGCGACCGGGACAGGCCTGGCACCTAAAAGGTGTTCTGGAAATATTTACAGAATAGACAAGAGACTAAAAAGCACTGATGTATGATTTGCATCCTGCTCTGTTCCTGCAGTTTCATGTAGAGATCAAGTATCATTCTGCGCTGGTCAAACCCTCCCAGAGCCCGGACCTTGTACTGGGCCCTGCTCTAAGCACCTGGCAAGTATGGACTCATCGAATCGCCATGACAAGCTAGGAGGGAGATACTAATAGTGTCCCTATTTTACTGATGAGGAAACAGGCACAGAGAGGTTGAGGAACTTGCCAGAGATCACACAGTTAGGGTGAGACAGCAAAGAAGTGGGAGCAGGAAAACACTGGGAAGGCAGGAACTGGGGTGCTCACAGGGTCCAGTGGAGGACCTCAGGGGACCCGCCTCCTGCTCTCGGGACCTCTCTCTTGGAACAGCCAGACGCCCTTGGCAGAAAGCTGGAAGCTTCAGGCTTCTGACAAAGCACAGTGCACTGGAGGGAGGACAGGCACATCTAGGGCGGGGTCTCGGCCCTGCGGGGCTGCACCTGCTGTGTCACCTAGAGAGAGACTGCCCTCTTGGCCTCGGTCTCCTTTCCTGAGGCAGGACCCAAGTGCAAGTCACCATGAGTTGCCCGTTTGAGAATGGCCAACCCCCCACATCTCTTAACCACTTGCACACTCCAAGGCAGAAATAGATCCTGGGGACCCCAGGGGAAGTGGTAGGGGCTCTGTACTGGGGTGTCTGAGGTTCCCAGAGGAAGATGGCCCCTTTCCTCTGGGGAGCTGCTCCCGACCACAGGCTCCAGACAGAGGGCCTGAGCTATGACGCCCGGATGTGGCCCTACGGCACTGCCCACTCAGTGCCCCCAACACCATGCTCAGCCGGTCCCAACCTGACCTGACCTGACATCTCCGCCCTGCCCCATGTCGTTATCAGGGCTGGTTTCCCATCGCCCCTCATCCCGCCCACCCCTCTCCCCCGTCTGTCTTTCTCAAATACATCCGGTCCCCACCCCATCTCTGTTCCCGCAGACCGGGCCGTCATCCTGGCCTGGGCAGGAGGGGTAGGCCCTCCAGTGCACCCTCCTCCCAGCATAGGCATCTCGGTTAACCACAGACAACTTCACAAAGCTGGTGTTGTCACCCTCTCCCTCAGCGCCCCTAGAGGGCACCACTCTAGCTCTCACCTCCTGGCCTTTGCATACGCTGGCCCCCCACCCCCCAGGTACAAAGATGCTCACAACGTCCAGAAGAGTCCAGAAAAGTCTGCTATTCAGTCATGACATAGCCACCCCTTCCCTCTCGACTCTGAAGAACATCACCTCCACCTCTTCTAAGGGTGGAGGGAAGACCAGAAGCTTAGGAGTTGAGAATAAGGACCCCAGTCAGGCCTGAGTTCAAATCCTCGCTCCACTACTTACTAGCTAAATATTCTTGGGCAAGTCACTTCACCTCTTAGCTTCCTTACCTTTAAAATGGAGGTAATAAGAAACCTAACATCTAAGAATCAAGTGAGAGAGTCCATGTGCAGGGCACAAAATAAGTGCTCGATTAACAGCGCACCGTGTTGTTTTTATCATCAGTGCTCGATTAACAGCGCACCGTGTTGTTTTTATCATCAGTGCTCGATTAACAGCGCACCGTGTTGTTTTCATCATCACAGGCAATAAGAGGAGCCACGCAAGAGGAAGCAGGCGTTAGGTGGCAGGGCCTTGAATGCCGAGGACAGAGCTGAGAGCTTTACCAGCAGCTGATACTCAATTGTCCTGCCACTACAATGAAGTAGGGACTATCACTGTACCCACTTTATAGATGGGACTAAGGTTCAGAGAAGCCAGAACTTTGGCAGAAGCCACACAGCAAGTGAGTAGAGCAGAGCTGGGATGTTCAAGAGAGTGGTGTCAGAACGCACCTCTGGTGGCCCTGCCACTGTGCTGAGAGCCCCCACTGCCCCAGGCACCTCCACCACCCGCCAGCCTCTGACAAGATACATCCACATCTCTGGACGCTCCAAGGAGGATGAAGCATCATAGAGGACTCAAAAATATAGGCCTGGGGCCAGAATTCCAGGTTCGGATGCCAGCTTGCCAGTTCCTAGCCATGCAGCCTCAAGGGGGCCTCAGTTTACCCCTTATGAAAAATGGGGATCAGCCCAGCCGGTATGGCTCAGTGGATTGAGCATTGCCCCATGAACTGAGCGGTTCCAGTTTGATTCACAGTCAGGGCACATGCCCAGGTTGTGGGCTCGATCCCCAGTACCGGTGTGCAGGAGACAACTGATCAATGTATCTCACACCGATGTTCCTATCTCTCTCCCTTCCTCTTTCTGTAAAAAAAATCAATAAAAACAAAAATAAATAAAATGAGACTCAAGCCCTGGCTGGTTTGGCTCAGCGGCTGGAGCGCTGGCCTGCGGGCCAGAGAGACCCAGGTTTGGTTCCTACTAAGGGCACATATTTCGGTTACGGTTTGTCCCCGGCCCTGGTTGGGTTGTGCGGGTGGCGGCCACTTGATGTGTCCCTTTCACATCGATGTTTCTCTCTCTCCCTCTTCCTCTCTCTCCCTCTTCCTCTCTCTCCCTCCCACTCCATGTGAACAAAAAATGAAAAAATGTCCTTGGGTGAGGATAAAAAAAAAGAGAGAATCAGTGTAATTGTTCCTGGGTAACTGGGCTTGTTGTGGGGAAAACATGAGATAATACTTCTAAAGTGCCTTGTACATAAAAAGTGCTCAGCCCTGGCCGGTTTGGTTCAGCGGTTAGAGCGTTGGCCTGCGGTCCAGAGAGACCCGGGTTCAGTTCCCGCTAAGGGCACGTATCTTGGTTGCAGTCTGTCCCCGGCCCTAGTTGGGTCGTGTGGGTGGCAACCACTTGATGTGTCCCTTTCACATCGATGTTTCTCTCTCTCCCTCTTCCTCTCTCTCCCTCTTCCTCTCTCTCCCTCCCACTCCATGTGAACAAAAAATGAAAAAATGTCCTTGGGTGAGGATAAAAAAAAAAGAGAGAATCAGTGTAATTGTTCCTGGGTAACTGGGCTTGTTGTGGGGAAAACATGAGATAATACTTCTAAAGTGCCTTGTACATAAAAAGTGCTCAGCCCTGGCCGGTTTGGTTCAGCGGTTAGAGCGTTGGCCTGCGGTCCAGAGAGACCCGGGTTCAGTTCCCGCTAAGGGCACGTATCTTGGTTGCAGTCTGTCCCCGGCCCTAGTTGGGTCGTGTGGGTG